CTCGGCCGTGTATTAATATGTATATTTATATGTATGTTCCACAAATGAACTGCATGTTCTCGTATATTTTAGTCTGTGTGGAACAGTTCGAATATATTTCTTCGAATATTAAACCAGATATTTTGATAAATCAGGATTGGTGAAATATCCAATGGACTTATAATTCTACAGGATTGTAATAACGATCTATCTGAACTTATGACCGTACGTCGACAAAATTGTCTGTAAGTGATACTTGATTCAGTATATATTATTAAACGTAAGCTTCCAAAACACCTTATATCCAAACAAGCAAGATTTGCTTGTCTGGTGTGACCATCACCAATGGTCAAGGAAATACCACTTCTAGTGTGTAAATGACGCAAATTTATTGCAACTGATCAACAAATCCCATATAGAAGTGATAAGATGTAAAAAATGCCGATGAACTAGTTTCTGTCTCCTACGGCAGCCTTGATGTTGGATCAAGACCTCAAGGCAACGCACCGCACAACTGGCTGGCGAAACTGAACTCACTCAGTGCTTGAAATAGGCGGTATGACCTGCTTAGAATCAGGTCGTATCTAACAGCGCTGGGTGTGCCTCGTTCTCCGATAGACACGGGATAATAAGAGACCATGTTCCGATATGGTCTTAAACAGAATATATGTTAAAAGAGTTTTATTTATATACTTGCATGTTACCGTTTATGTGTGCCTGTTTTTTTGTGTTTTTGTTTGTTTTTTTTTTGGGGGTTTTTTTTTTATTGTATGTGTGTGTGTGTGTGTGTGTGTGTGTGCTTGCTTATCAATGATGTTTCAATGAACTAGTTGGGTAGTAGTTGTATACAGCTGGCTTTGTGTTCCTGCATACGAGGATGTTTGGTGTGTGTATTAATACATTTGTCGCAATTTTCATAAAGTGACTTGCTAATTGGCTGTGCCTTCTTGGGTTCCTGTCTTTCAAAACTAAACCAAGTGTTATCGTTCATATAAGCGCAGAGGAAACCGTTCTGTGACGTATTACAGCCGGATGAACGAAACAAACTCTTTGGTTGCTGCACACGCTACTTCAGAAGGAAACGGCGTCTGATGAAAGGATTGCCATAGTACCTCGTGATGTGGCTAAACAGTGGGGCGCATCTCCATCTGGGGCCATTACCACAGAGAGGGGTCTCACGAAAAACATTGATCTAGTACATGGCAATTGTCGGAACCATTAGTGTTGAATATGAAAGTCCTCCTGTCTGCCTGTTGTATCTGTCTGTAAGACTGTCTGCCTGCCAGGATTTACTGGTCCTTCGGCCTGGGTGTATTCTAAGTATGCAATGTATCTGTTTGTAAAGCTGATGGAGTCGTTGTCGGCACGGGTACTACATATATGTACATGTATATTTGTAGTTTATAGCATAAAGATAAAGATAAAGATATTTATTGCATAGCATTCCATGAAGAAACAGTGGCAATATTCTATAAGCTACAAATATTTACACAGTAGGTACAAGAAATATAGATACATTTCACACATAAATGATGTATATTATAACAATTTTTAGAAATCATGTGGTATAATGACATGGAAATAATATATGAGGAGACTTTGGTAAGATATAAAATTCATTTAAAGTTGTAAAGATGGTGACATATTTTGGAAATTAATTCAGGACTTCTGTTCGTGAAAATTATTAGGAATTGTTCTTTTTTTGAGAGTGTAGTAAATTCTTGCTCATAATAAAGCATTGTGTGTATAAGTGATTCCCTTTCTTCGTTATACTTGGTACATGATATTATATGGTGTTGCTCATCGTCTAAGACACTGCACATTTCACAGAGACGTTGTTCTAATGGGGTTGCAGGTTTTGTATATCTTCCAGTTTCAATTTTGAGTTTATGATTACTTAAACGTAGTTTTGAAAAATGTGATCGATGAGCTTTGTTTTTACAATGAAATAGGTAATTTTCGAGTTTTATAGATGACTTGACCAATCTGTATGTTCTTAATTTGTGCATATTGCCACTGTTTCGTCATAGAATGCTATGCAATAAATATCACATCTTATCTTATCTGTACCCTAGTCAAAATCTGAATACAGAAACGTACCCTGGGACGGCTCCATTCTGCAACATATCGTTTTATTGATCGGAACTGTCGTATCAATTGAATTAGATGCAATTGATTGCGTTATATTAGAAACGAGCATGACAAATATTTCAACATGCAACAAGTAGACAGGAGCAAAACATCAATCCGTCATATCCGTCATGTACGTCATATCCATCATATTGTAGATGTATATAAATCTATCTACATAAATATATTTATCTGTCTCCACATTTGAAAAATTGAACTTTTACCAGTGGACAGTCGATTGATAAACAGAAACGAGAGAAACCGGAACTGTACCTATAGTACCATCACCAGCGCCCCCTGGAAAACAAGATGGCTGCCCGTCCACGGGACCCCATGCGTTAGGTTTATCGGATCCCATGCCTTGAATAATTATATACACACATCCGAATCGTTAGCAGCTATGTTTATGTTTGCTCCATATTATTGTCTTGAACTTTATCACATAACTGCTCAGCGCATCTTTTGTGACTATCGGAATCGATTATGTTGGGGTATCAAGGTAAATGCCGTCACTGGTAGTGCCTTAACACTATATTCTTTAATATATAATCAGTGGCGGTATATACCTAGACTAACCCTTAGTCTCTGAACACACATAGATATATTTAATAGTTACAATAAATCCATTTAAGTTGTAAAGGAACCCCTGTGAGATTCAGAACCTGAAGAAATCTAGACCTGCTTCATTTAGGGCTTTAGCATTTCAGGGTGGGCTAGGCAGTAGGGAAAATAATGTGATTCAGGGACTGTGAGACAGACTAGTGTTTACGTTGAAGCCAGTGTTTTTGCGTCACAAGGTCATGTGGTCCAATATGACTATGTCAAAACAATTCAGATTTGGCCCTTAGACTATGCAAGGGGTTGAAATTATGTTTTTTGTAATTATTTTACTGACAGTTAGCGGAAACCTAGACAAACAGATCCCATTTCGTAAATTGAACATGAATTGCCTATCAGGAACACTAAAGACATCACAGTGACTCATTTCGGAAAGGTCTACTTGGGTATTGCATTATTACCAACAACTACATCTTAATACACGACAAACTGCTGTTTGGTGTGGTGTCTGGGCTAAGTTGTGACCATTCTGAATGCAGTGGAGTATGTCATAATGAAGACCAGTGACCACCATGTGGATGGTTTCAGTGCAACGTACCCTATGGCTAGTATATCCCCATTGTCCTTTATCCGCGCTACAGACTTTCCAACAGCAGTAGTTTTGAAACGGAAAACCAACTTTCAGCAGCCTTCTACTAAGATTCCCAAATTTATATATATATTCCCGTAGCAAGAATTATACATTGTCAGTTGAAGGAAAACCTTATCTCGACTATCTTTTAATCATATGAATGGGCCACTGAAAAGTGATGGAGTAACAATCTTCAGAGAAAATGTGTAATTGTTCCGCAGAGATTCGACAGTATTTTGTATTATCTTCCTTTCAATGTCCAAATCATTCACGAGCTACAATACAGAAAAATCCCAGACTAAAATAACATAAGCTGAGATTTATTGGGGAAAATTTGAGCAGTAAGTTACTTTAGTCCGAGACAAGAACAGACCTCCTTCATATGGCTAGAATATTGCGGTGTGAAACAACGAACAAACAAAAGGGAGGTCTCAAATTGCGTCTTAATGCCCATGAACTGGATCTGGAGACAGTGCTATATTTACACCAAGCGAGAGGGCTACGAGTGTACGTACAGCTGTACAACTCATTGAGGATTGAGATCAACTCCACTTCCTCCTGTACCGCCCTCTCTACATTATTGTAAGGCTATCAGTTCTGGCCGCGTGGTTTCAAGACCAATATCATCACTGCATTAAAATTCCTACTCAATCCACATTGGTTGTCCCTCCCTCATAGCATGTTAAATTACGCGTGTTTCAAATCAAAGATCTCCTGGGAAGATTCCACCACAGCGGTTTTTCAGTATATTCTGGCATGGTGTTGCATCGTTTATCATATCTCTTTAATATGTTTTCCTGTCATAACGGAAATGTGTACAAGTGGTTTTTATAATAGATCCCTTGCGTACAAGTACACTGAAACTAATCACATTTCATTTGTAAGTATACATCTCTAATATATATGTCAATACATGTGTATTTGTCTGTGAATTTCTGTTCAAGTGGATCTCTGGGTCTGTCGGACGTATATCATATAATTATATTTGTAAGTATATATCTCTAATATATATGCCTATACATGCTTATTTATTGGCTGTGAATTTCTGTTCAAGTGGATCCCTGGGTCTGTCGTCTTATATGGTTGACCATATATCTACCTGTCTGTGCATCTGTGTATGTATAGCTATATCTGTCCGTCTGTCTCACTACACTTCTACCTACTTATTCAGTCTCTCCGTCATATACCATGGCCCCATCAAGTAGCCCAAGGCAAGTGTAAAGCTATGCGAGCAATGTTTAGCCGAAATTAGTCACGATGAAGCTTTCACACAGATCTGTCTTGCCACAAGCTAACAACCAGAATATGAAATATACTCCTCTGATCCAGTAGATTATTTTGTAGTATATTATATCAGTCCTTCATCAATGACACAAACATCAAATTTTGTAATAAAGAATTACTTATGTTTTTCAAAATGTCTCTAACAAAATGTTGCATGACTAGGATACATCATCGTTAGACCAATCATGTATATGTTCATGAATGAAACACTTCCAAAGATCCGGTAGAAGACGCTACAAGAATGTGTCTACAACGTTCACGCGGTACAACTTTTCAGGCCGACTGTTTGAAACCAGCACACTTCAGACTTTAGGAAACAAAATAGCATGAAACAAATATAACAGTTAGAAATGTCCTTTTCGGTTGAAATCCATATGACATTAACAGCTGTTATTAATCACAGCAAAGCAAATCCTACCTGCAACAACAACGACGGCGAAAATGACCTTGTTCATGTTGGCTATTCCTCTTTGATAGATGTTACCGGGTGAACGTCCGAAGCGAAATGCTGCAAAGCGGCAACTGGGACGCTAATATAAGTGAACCGCCCACCGCGGAAGCGAAAGGCCCGACCTCGCAACCAGCAGCGCCTCCTAGGATCACCGAATATTTGTTTGCTTATCTGCCGCTTTGGTATGTTCCAGTCCTAGGCCAAATGTTAGAAAAGTTTTAGGATCTTTTAGGATCTCTCAGCAGCAGTGAAAGCGTTATCCAGTAATTGGTATGACAACTCCCACCCTCCAGAGATTCTTGTCAATGTGGAACTAGACACAGAATGTATCAGGGTTGCTGAAAACAAACAAGGATTACCCCGCTGTTGAAACAGTGTCCACATGTTCATAGACCAACTGCATGAGTATTAACCGCATGGTTTAATGGACGGTGACAAGCAGTGATGTTCAATATGATCAGGATATGCAGTATGGTGGATAAGTCCTGGTGTATCATATTACCTGATAATGATGTTACCTCTACATTTCGCCTAGAAGTAGTTCGACAATTACTGGTTGTCATGGCAACCGATCTGCACGGTTTTGATTTCGCATGGTACTTTATTTGAGAGGGAGATGGGTGCATCAATGGATGGACATTTGCGTGCAACGGGAACACTCTATAGAGAAGCCTGCTCCGTGAGCAATGATGGGGATTGCATATCCGGTATCGGAATCAGTGTAGCCAAAGTTGAATTTGTTGGAAATTGGTATTCTTGTTATGCTGTTGAAAGATGAAAATGTTTGCAAATTCCTTGACGGGAAAAGAGACCACATATCGATACGGCATCTCATGGAAACATTATTTAGGCTACATCAAGATGTGACTAACCCAGTTTAAGAGGTATGATAAAATCAGCGGTGAGAAAATTGGCCAAGAATTTATTCATAAAACATGCATGATCAAGTCCGCGAAGAAATGAAGTAAAAGATATCATTTCCGAGGTCTCTGCCTCCGCAAAGTTTATAGGGAGTATATTATCGCCCTTTCAGATACTCGGTTAATTACTTACCCATTGAAAATATCGTTCATCCATGATTCAATTTACTGTGCTTTCACATTGATCTCTTCAAAACTCGTTCCTCAATGTGAAATACTAGCAGTAGCCTTGCTCCAAGGCTGTACTGAATGCTAAGCCCATGTCTGTATAGTAATTCTATCCTTTAAAGAGGCAAGTCTAGATAAGAAGAAGGACGCCAGTTTATTAGAGTGATATTTATGTTTTTTAGAAATTATCATCTAAACTAATAATTATTATAATAGAGACTCGTGCAAGTCTGTACTGGTAGGTGAGTGAGTTCAGGTTTGAACAGTATTGGTGAAATGTCACAGCGTGTTAGACTAGAGTTATACACACCTTAAGCGTGTAACACTCTGGTAAAACCTTACAACTCTACAGTTTAGTAGCTACACTAACGCTTAGTCCCTGAATATATATAATTTTGATAGGAATAAATAAACCCATTTGAATTGGGAAAAAAAACCCAACAACAACAAACAAACAAAACCCCCCAAAACCAGAATATTTTTCTTTTTATAAATTTAACTTTGTATTTTCTTACTAACCATCTTCCGGAGATCAGTGTCCGCTTAATCTTAGAATCTTAGCTTCATCAAAGTTCAAGGTCGTATGCAGATGAAAACTAAGCCTCAGAAACAAAATGATCTTATTTAAAAAGTTATCTCCAAAACTGAATTAAAATTCAAATGGAGCCGAGAAAAGCGTTGACCATAACGTGACAGATAGACTCGATCGAGTTGGATTTTTAAAAATATATTCTCTAGGTTTTGGGCGAAAAACCATGTTGTATGAGACTGACGAATATGGTAACGACGTTTCCATATAATGTTTTGATCATGAATGCTCAGTTCATTAATGCTTGTAGTTCCACCACTATGATACCGTACTGATGTTCGCGTACTCGTTGTATTTGGACCCGTGAAAATCCAGGCCGGATTGGTCTTAAGGGATGGTGGGGTAGCCTTGTGGTTAAAGCGTTCGCTCGTCACGCCGAAGACCCGGGATCGATTCCCCACATGGGTACAATGAGTGAAGCCCATATCTGGTGTCCCCGTCGCAATATTGCTGGAATATTGCTCAAAGTGGCGTCACACCATACTCACTCATTGGAATTGGTCCTGAGGATGCGAAAGGAATAAAGGTTCGGGGATTGGTTATAGTATGAGGTCATGATCGTATCGAAATTGCGTAGATGGATGCTCATGGTGTCAATATCTTGAGTGTCTGGTCAAGATTATTCACTCACTGTCACCATTTATCAGTTACACAACAAACATAGTACGAAACAATCTCTCATTTTCAATCTCCTCTGTTCGCGATTTATCCTGTCTCCTGCAAAACCTCATTGACTTGTTGTAATTAGACAGTACTGTTAACTGTTTGAGACGCATGCGTATAGTTTAGAGGTATTTCTGGTGCTCCGTTGAAATAATCAGACTAGGCTATACAAGCAACGTCCTAGTTCAAGTGACCAGCTGATGACATCCGCTCTGAAGTTATTGCACAATGGGGAGTAATGCCAAGCTGGTCTATCAAACATTGCTATAAATAGGAATGAGTAATGACATATAGTGGTGAAATACATATCTGGGAACGGCAGTCAGCTGACAGCGGGGAGTGGGGGATGGGGGCTTTGCATGGTGGCAGTGTTAGAAATAGATTCAAACTGTCACTAGTCAGTGGGGCAAATGGCCCAAATATGTCACTAACCCTTCAAACACCTTACTGGCCCGAATAATTCATGATAATTTATAGACATTAAAACAGCGCATATGAGAATAGTTAGAGAATTCATTTCACAAAATAATTGTTTCAGACTATTTACTCTGAGCCTCTTACGTTGATGGGACACACTCTAAGAATACCAATATAGTTTCAGATTATCTTCATATTAAATTATCTTACGGACTTCAGTCCGAAACTGCACAATTCAGAGAGGATAGTGAAAGAAACCAAAATCACTTCAGTCAACAAAAACAAGTGTATTTTCCAAAACTACAACTTGTAAATGAACAGTCGGTACTTTGTCAGCACTCAGTGAACATTATAAACTTGCAGCACTAGTTTGAAGTAAGGTACCCGTAAGCGCCCAAGTAATTTACGTTCATGGGTAACTAGTAGTATCAACATAAACCGCGAGAAAATGAAGTCTTTTGTTCTTGTTTTGATTCAAACATCGAATAAAGAAACCATTAATACATCTGAAAAGCATAAAGAATGTGTACTCAGTAAAGCGTATTTCACACTGTTGACGCTACATAATACCTGTTCAAGATCCAGAATTAACTGAACCACGCATAGCACATTTACACTGTATCAAAGATTAAAATCAGAAGCCTGAAAATAAAACGTTCTCTTTCACGAAAACGCCATGGAATCATACCAAATGGAAATGAATATATTTTGGCTTTAACTGTTAAACACCTTGACCATCTTACAGTTCTACTACGTGACGTATATTACGTTGTTACTTACGTTCTTGTTAAATTCAAAGACTGAATTTTGATCAAACGCCATAGATGACAAAAACAGAAAAAATCTTTGCTCCACATATGTAACATTTTTCTGAAAACATGGCCGAGACAACCGTGCAACATTGAGATATCTACAAGCAACAATTACACAATGAGACATTGGAATAAAACATTTGTTTACTTTTGGATCTATCCTTATTTAGAGTAAATTAAAGAACAATCTGTATAGTTGAGAAAACGTACTCTTCAATTTCATCAACATGTTAAAACGTTTTATCATCTTAAGTAATGATTCCGACAGAAATATTCGTATGAAATGTACCTTACACCTTTAGTAATTTACGTTAGGGTCAAAAAGTGGCATGATCGACAATGGAATCCATAGAATGAGCATTGCTCTGCTCGCATGCAGAAATTCAAACGGTTACCAACACGTGATGGTTGGTGTTTTGGGGTTTCCCACGTAACGTCATGGACCATTCTAACTGTCAATTAAACGTAAATTACAAAACGAATTACATTTTGTTTATCTAAAGTGATCATCCGGGTTCTGAGGCTGTCTATCTGCGTCGATGCTGTATTAAACTATAGAAAGAAATGTTGGTTCATAACGCTTCCCACAACGTTACAAGATCATCACCGTCACGTATGATTACGCTCTTAAAACATCGGTCTTTAAAATGAACATTACTGGTCTGTGTTCAACTAACCTGTATCTCTCGTAGACATAACCTGCTTGTTGTCTAAACTATATCATTAATTTTTTGGTATTGTAACACTGTAAAATTATTGTCCTCCTGAGAGGGTACGTAAGTCCCCAAACATTCAAAGTAAATTTAAACTCTCCACTTGTTTAATGTATGGCTAGTTACATCTAAATTGCTAACAGCTGAAGGGATGATGTAAATCCAGCTAGGGCCCATGCAGGAAGCAAATGTACTGCAAGTCCCCATGGCCCTAGTATGGTGGTCTACCTTCTGTTGCTGTGATCTATAGCCAGCTTTTATATTGTATTGTACTATATAGTATATGATTGTTTAAGTTCAATGCTAGTTTTAAATCTCTAACTGTGATATGCTAGTTGTTTACTGTCCTTTGGCGACAGATTTGATATAAAAACATTATAAACTAGTTACATATTAACTGTTTTAGTCACGATATGGCTGAAATATATGCCAAAGTGACTATATTTTAACTCAAACACTCACTCAATTTGATATTGTAACAGTTTCTAGTTTTAAGTTGTCGGTAATACAATCTGACATAACGTAAATTACACGCCTGCTGTCGATAATTGTTTGTTGCTTTCATTACAATTCTGTATGTCTGCACATGCGTTTTTTCATAAACAGTTCCTGATTGCTTTCAAAACTTAACTACATTTGAATTGTGGTAGCGGTGGTCATCTTAGAGGCAGCTTTTATTGACGGGTCCGTCTCTCACCGACACCAGAAAACCGTCCCCCCTACCCATGTATGTCAATCCATACTAGGCATTTGTTTCAATGACGTGTTAGTTTTCTATACTTTACTTGTTATCATTAATGTATTTAAATATCTAAAAGTGCTTTTGGCCTCATGAATCGCA